CACAGCGCCCGACCGGGCCCCTGCTGACACATGCTCCCCAGGTGGCCGTTAGTGCATGGGCCACCCGGGGAGCCTCCTCAGTGTGCGGGAGCCACACCGCCCGGTCCATAGGGGCTGCGCAAATCGCGGGGCCCACAGAGCAGCTGCTCTGGGCCCCCAGGAGCAACTGGGCCTGGGGCAGCTGCCCCGTTTGCCCCGCGTTAAAGACGGCCCTGATTGCCCCTTTGCCCCCCCCCCAGATCCGCCAATGCACTAGAGGTTGGAATAACCCCAAATGTAAACAAAGCAGTTTCTCTGAAACTGCTATGTTTGCATCTGAAGGGTTAAAACCTGAGGGACCTGGCACCCAGACCACTTTATTGAGCTGAAGTGGTCTGGGTGACTATAATGTCCCTTTAAGTATAATTTCCCCACTATACTAACCTACCTATCTTTTTCAGCATGCATGCTCCTGAGGGTTTTATGCTTTTAGGAAGAGAGAAAACCGAATGAAAGGGTTTCGGCAAAGAAGAAAGAGGAGAAGATAGAGAAAGAGGAGAAAGAAGGATAGTAGTGAAGGATCAGAGGGTCTCTGGTCTGCGATGCCGAGGGGGGGCAGTGGTGTCTTTGGGAGGGGAGGAGGGATGGGGGCCTAACATAGCCTCGGTTCAAGCACCGCGGGCCCTGACTATATAGTTTTCCCACGGCTCCCAGACTTTAGAGAATGTCTTCATGGACCCCCAAACTTGGGCAGTCAGTTTGTCCATGATATAGTTCTCTTTGAGCTTTTGCAGCACCATAGTCATGGGAGGTGTGGTGGGTTTTAGCCATGTTTTGGCCAGAGCTCATCCAGCAGCAAGTGTCATTTTATTAAACAGTTGCTGTTCTGCCCTATTCCAATCATCGAATGGTCTAGCAAGTAGAAGGGCCCATGGGTTCAGGACAACGCGTTTAGTCATTAGACTTTTAGCCCCAAAAGTTCCAAATATCTTCCTCTTCATTCCAGAACTGGTTTGCATTCTGCTAGTAATTGTGAGCACATCATGATGGCATATTTAGGAATGCTCATTTCCACAAAATGCCATTAGGTTATTATAAATACTCAGGATACTGCAACATTCGAAAATAACCATTTTAATCACACCTACTGTATGTGAGAAACTGGTGTTTCTGCTTCTATGGCAATATTTAAAACTCTGGCCTTTGATTATTTGATAATTGTCAACTCATTAGCAGCTGCTGAAGAATTTGTTGTTTCATAATCTTATCTGAATCCTAAATATTTCAAAACTTTTGGCATTCTTGGTTTTTAATAAAATAGATCCTATGTTTTACATTAATCAGTCAAGTTAAATATATCATAATATTTATAAAGAATGTAATTTCAACACACTAATGTAAACATTTTCCATTATAAAATTCAATTGCCAAAGAAGAAAACAAACGCTGCATGCACCTAGCTTTGTATGATGAAAATTAAGCCAGTGCATCCTGCTAGGTTAATTAATAAGGAGTATATAAAAGCGCTAAACTTATGGACAGTGATAATATTTGGCTTGTCTGAAAGTCACCTCCATTTTTTTTGTTCTCGAGCCCCCACCAGCTGGCCAGAGACAGAGGGAACGAGGGGAGGGGGCTCTCACGCATAGACAGAGATGTGTGAAAGACTCAATATAATGGCCTTATTTTTCATCATAAATTCTATGCATATCTCCCAAGTGGCCCTTTTTAGGAGGAGCAGTCCCTATTTTAGGCACAAATCTCTCTGTTCCTCTTTTCTATCCTAATGTCTTTCTTTTCTAGAAGCTCCATATTGTTGTGTGTCTGAGTATATCACAGAGCTCCACAGCAATAATACTCCCAGTAATGTGTCTGAGTGTATAACAGAGCTCCACAACAATAATACTCCCAGTAATGTGTCTGAGTGTATGACAGAGCTCCACAGCAATAATACTCCCAGTAATGTGTCTGAGTGTATAACAGAGCTCCACAACAATAATACTCCCAGTAATGTGTCTGAGTGTATAACAGAGCTCCACAGCAATAATACTCCCAGTAATATGTCTGCGTGTATAACAAAGCTCCACAGCAATAATACTCCTAGTAATGTGTCTAAGTGTATCACAATGCTCCACGGCAATAATACTCCCAATAATGTGTCTGAGTGTTTAACAGAGCTCCACAGCACTAATACTCCTAGTAATGTGTCTGAGTGTATCACAGAGCTCCACAGCAATAATACTCCCAGTAATGTGACTGAGTGTGTAACAGAGCTCCACAGCAATAATACTCCCTGTAATGTGACTTAGTGTGTAACAGAGCTCCACAGCAATAATACTCCCAGTAATGTGACTGAGCGTCTAACAGAGCTCCATAGCAATAACCCTCCCAGTAATGTGTCTAAGCGTGTAACAGAGCTCCACAGCAATAATACTCCCAGTAATGTGTCTGAGTGTATAACAGAGCTCCACAGCAATAATACTCCCAGTAATGTGCCTGAGTGTATCACAGAGCTTCACTGCAATAATACTCCCAGTAATGGGACTGAGTGTATAACAGAGCTCCACAGCAATAATACTCCCAGTAATGTGTCTGAGTGTATAACAGAGCTCCACAGCAATAATACTCCCAGTAATGTGTCTGAGTGTATAACAGAGCTCCACAGCAATAATACTCTGAGTAATGTGTCTGAGTGTATAACAGAGCTTCACAGTAATAATACTCCCAGTAATGTGTCTGAGTGTATAACAGAGCCCCACAGTAATAATACTCTGAGTAATGTGTCTGAGTGTATAACAGAGCTTCACAGTAATAATACTCCCAGTAATGTGTCTGAGTGTATAACAGAGCTCCACAGCAATAATACTCTGAGTAATGTGTCTTTAAACTACAATAAATGTGTTTAGAAATCAGTCTGTATAAATAAGATACATTGTTCTTGTTATAAATTACATTTTAGTTGTATAAATTATTAGTAAGAATCAGGGGCGTACCTAGAGCATTTGGCACCCGGGGCGGATCCTGTGCTTGGCACCCCCCCCCACCCAAAAAAAAAAAACCTGTAAAAAATGTTAAAGGTTTTCTTTCTTTATTTTTACAATTTGTAAACTTTGCAAAACCGCTGTCAGCCCCTCCTACAAAACCCTTGTCCTGCCCTGCCCCTCCTACAAAACCTCTGTCCTGCCCCTTCTACAAATCCTGTACTGCCCCGTCTACAAAACCCCCGCAACCCCCTTCCACAAATCCCCTGCTTATCCCCCCTTATAAAGACTCCTGTCCCAATACAAAAACCCCGCCCCCTTCTACAAAATCCCTGCAGCCCCACACACACATTTACAGGCAGACAGTCACACAGTCAGTTACAGACAGACAGTCACACAGTCAGTTACAGACAGACAGTCACACACTCAGTTACAGGCAGACAGTCCCACACACACAGTCACAGGCAGACAGTCACACATACACATTTC